TCTTTAAAAATTAAAGAAGATAAATCATGCTTCCACATATAGACAAAAAATAACTTTTTATATACGTTTAGTTTATATATATCAAGGATTTTCATTTGATTAAAAAATATTGAGGAATGTGCGAACCGATCCGCAGAACTAATTAAACGGATTGCAAGTTTCTGACGGCGATAGAGACATTGTAGTCGCTTTGATCAGTGCTACCCCAGGCAATAACTCCATAACTTGTATAACTGTGGCTAAAAGAGTAATAAAGTTTAGTTAAATTATTTTTATCTAAATGAGTACGCGTCTTATATAAAATTCCGATACTTTTTGAAACTTTCGAGCAAACATAGTTTCTAATTGATATTCTCGTCAATGAAAACCTCTAGGTGTTTAGTTACAGAATCTCTTTTAATTTCAATATGGTCAATTAGAATTTTTGGTAGATTTGGAAGTAGAAAACATTTTTTGGAGAGCGGGTGGAAAAAAATCCATTTTGTTTTGGTTATATTTAATGTTTATTTGTTACTTTTAAACCATTTAGATAAGTTTTATATATATATATATATATATATATATATATATATATATATATATATATATATATATATATATATATATATATATATATATATACTGTATGTATATATATAAATATATACTGTAAGTATATATATATATATATATATATACTGTATGTATATATATATATACTGTATGTATATATATATATATATATATATATATATATATATATATATATATATATATATATATTTATATATATATATATATACATACAGTATATATATATATATATATATATATACATACAGTATATATATATATATATATATATATATATATATATATATATATATATATATATATATATATATATATACATACAGTATATATAATATATATATATATATATATATATATATATATATATATATATATATATATATATATATATATATATATATATATATATATATATATATGTGCATCAGCGCTTTTTTTATCCTCTCCATGGCCCTTGACCAATAAATAGACTTTGGTGACTGCTCTTTAAGAACGAAATATAGATAAGTAAATACAATTATGAAAATTGTACAACTTATCAAATACTATTTGCTGCTAAAATTAAATTGAATAATGATAAAAAAATTGTAGAAACAAAAAGTAAACATTCTAGAAACAAAAAGTAAACCAACAACAATGACTCCAACTGAGGTTAAAGGGCTAATTTAGATGTAACATAACAAAGACTTCTTATCAATTTATTTTAAAAAATGCTTTCAAATAAATTATCCAGCATATAAAATCAGAGCTGTATCCAATGTATCCAAGTTACATTTTTTTAAAGTAATTATTCAGCTAATATACCATTACAAAATGGCTGGATTCAATGGCTTAACTAAACAAAAATTATCCAATTAGGTCATTATTCACTAATGTCTACTGGCTCACGTCAGCAGTTCAGTTTTTCAGCAATACAGCAATCGCCAAATGTGCACAAAGGAGTACAAGCAATTATACTTAAGAAGAATTTCCAAGCTTTTCAGGTAAATACTACAATCTTAATCCTAATCTTTTTTTATTTATTTTTTTTATTATTTAAGAGCGAACAAGAAGTCCTTGCGATCTTATCACAGAGCATTTAGTTGGAAGTTCACGCCTTCTTCCTAACCGATATCGCAAAACATGCCCAGAGGTGGGTTTTAACCACGGATCTTTTGTTTCTGAGGCACGTGCGCTACCACTGCGTCACGGTTGCTCAATCTCGTTAGAGTTGCGGTAGTGCGGTAGTGGTGTAGTGGTAGAGCGCTCGCTTCATAAACGAGTGGTTCCGAGTTCAATCCCCACCTCGTCCCTGGTAGTACCGCGCTTAACTCGTTTCTCCGCGCAGCGGCCTTGATCGTCAAGGTTCGTGTTTCGGAGTTATAGAGTTGAGAGAGGGTTATAGCCACAAATAAGTAGCCTCCTCGTCTGTAGTGGCCTTCTCGGCCTTGAGGAGGTGAATTAAAATTAAAAAAAAAAAAAAAAAAAGTTCAGTTTGTTAAATATTGCGTGGAAAGCGTGGAAAAAATTCTATAATAAAATCTTAATGTTTGCCGATAATAACTCAATGGAGAAACGTAACCAAGAAAAATGCAATGAGTTGTTTTTATTAAAGCGATACGTTCCTTAATGGTTACGTCCTTATTACTAATTGCTAATGCACAGAGAGTCTAATTGTTTTGTCCATTCAATTCGCTTATCAAAGAAAATTGATTTTGAACCTTCTAATTGCTAACGTTTTTATTTGCGATAATGTAGTTCTAAGCAATAGTCTTTTGAGCCTTAACTTGTATGTAATCGCATTTCTATCTTGTTTCTTTATAATTCCGTAATCTGAAAAAGTGGCAGTAACAATTACAACTCCAGATGTCATATTCTCTGGCAACCTTTGGACCTTATCAAATATCTACCAGACTTAATATCTAGCTCACAGAAACCTGACACCTCATTGTCTTCGACATTGCTCTGAGTGTCATTAAAAGTTCATGTTCAAGTACTGGTACCTTTGATTTTTGTATGTATGTGAAACTACTAAAAGTTTAGACAATTACATGCTGCAATGTCAAACAAAATTAAACTTTCGCATTGATACTGCTGGAGATAAATTGAAGTCTTTTATTCGCTTTTCTAAACTCTTTTCAACTACAAGTAAAACTCTATCACATTTTTAAGAAGTTCGATAAATTAACTTTAAATACACACAAAATGGGCTATATTTTATTTTCTCTACATTACGTTTTCTACCAAATAATATGCTTTAAATTTCTATTTATGAAATTATAATAAAAATATATATTATTATAAAAATCTAAGATGTTGATGAAAACATCATTAAGGGAAAACATGTGAGCATTAAATTTTCTGAAAATGTTGGTTTTTTATTTAAAGCTGATATTTAAACAAAAATAACTTAACCCAACTTAACTGTATTACTCATTCATTTACAATTTTATAAATTATGTAATTATTGTCTGGGGAAGTAATGTAAAAGTAAATTAAAATATTTTTTATTGCCGTCAGAAACAAGGGCATAATTAATTATGTGGGTAGGATTTCATACTAAAAACAATTTTTTATGATATGAAGATACTTGATGTACAGCATACCATATTTGTTATTTTATGTTTTACTTATATATTAAAATAATAAGAAAAACAATTTATCTCAATTTGTGTTTAACAATATTTTTTCTTTAAAACCTATAAACACAAATTGATGAAATGAACCTTTTTGTAGAACAAAGACCATTCAAATTTTTATTGCCTATCGCGTACCATATCTTTGTAATAAAACAGTATTGTAAATATTGAAAAACTAAACTAAAAAATTTCATTCCTTGAATGGACAGCTTTCTAAGGTTCTTTAAAAATGTATGTAAAAATAAATGGGTTAAATCTTCAGCATTTTATATGTTTAATATCTTTATATTAAAATTTTTAATATATATATATATATATATATATATATATATATATATATATATATATATATATATATATATATATATATATATATATATATATATATATGCATTTTTTTAAACCTTTAGTATATATTGTATATCATAAACAAATATGTTTGTTTACTTTAAAAGTTCCGATGAAAAGATCTTTATGTTCTTTTTTCAGATACCTAATTTATATTGTTAGCGCACAAGCTGTATATATTTTGTAAAATTTATTTATTTTCTTAATTTACTATATGTGTTACGACTAACATTGTAAACCTAAAAAAAAACAATAATAATAATATTAATAATAAAAATAATAATAACTAGAATGGTAATACTTGAGCTTGTCACTTTTGACGTAATAGTAAAAAATAATTTTAAATCAAATTAAAAAAATTATCTAAAGAAGGAGGCTTGCCTTAAACTTGAGCACTTTTTAATTTTTTTTTTTCTTTTACGTAATTAAATTTTTAAAACTTAAAACAAAGCTTAAAGAAAGGTCGCCTTTTTAAAAAAAAAGAAATTGGGTTTATTTATTTTTCAATATTCTCGCGAGATTTGAATTCTCATTGTGAAACAGGAACAAAAAGCAAAAAAAAAATCTAAAATATATATACTATTTGTATATATAAATTGGAATATATATACTATATTCCAATTCATATATACAAAAAGTATATATATGTAATATATATATATATATATATATATATATATATATATATATATAAATATATATATATATATATATATATATATATATATATATATATATATATATATATATATATATATATATATATATATATATATATATATATATAACTTCTTTTCTATTTTTGCATTGTATTTTTGCCACACCTGCAAAATATTCGCATACCATACTAAATTGCAAGATTAAAATTATCTTGATCCATCTTACTTATTTGAATTTTAAGATTCAACGATTATAACGATTTAAAGAAAAACTTAAAGAGACGGCAAATAAAAAGATTTTTATTAAATGTTTTTCCCGCAACTTTTTCACTTTTAGTTTCGATTATTTTCGGTATACAGTAGAAAAACATTATTTTGAGTTGCATAACACAATCAATAACGCAAATTTAACATCGATTGCAAAACAGATAAAATATACAAGATTTATTTTTTTAACAGTTTTAATTTAACTTTAGATTTTATTTTACGATTTTAGACCGGTGGGCAAATAATTTTGTGCGGTGCGGTAGTAAGAACGAAATCTTGTCTACACAAGGTTTAAAAAAATTAGGCTTAGTCACATCTCAAAACTTGTTAAACGTCGGATTTTTCTAATATTTTTCGGGCGTTGAGTTTTGACCTACATTGTGAAAAGCAGTTTTTTAAGCGACAATGAATGGAGTTTCTTTTTTATTGACGAAAAAATAACCTAACTTTACTCGATTAACATTCCAGACATCGGATTGATTACAAAAAGATTATAATTTTGTCTCGATCCAATCACAAAACCGTCTTTAAAATTTCAAACGTACTTTAAATTACGACTGGCCTTGTGAAACCGAATTTTTATTGGTTATTATGGCGGATCGATAAAACAAACGCAATATTATTATTTATTTCTCTTTGAGCGTTACACCCGGCTATGCCGCAGTGTAAAAGAAGTTTACTAAGAACGTATGGTGATGCGAAATGATAAAACTCCACAGTCCATCAGTTAATCTGGCTTATTCTTGAAGGTATTTACTCAAAAATTTGTATAAGTTTTTTTATAAGTTATAGGATTTTAGGATATATTTATTTTTAGGTCTTGCGTTTTATAAACAACGCGCAGTTATGTGTGTGTGCGTCTAGTGTGTGTACGTCTATACATACATACATACATACATACAAACATACATACATACATACATACATACATTCATACATACATACATACATACATACATACATACATACATACATACATACATACATACATACATACATACATACATACATACATACATACATACATACATACATACATATATAAATACATACATACATACATACATACATACATACATACATACATACATACATACATACATACATACATACATACATACATACATATATACATATATATATATATATATATATATATATATATATATATATATATATATATATATATATATATATATATATATATATCATATCATATCATATCATATCATATCATATTTAGTCTTTATAAAAATTAATGTTTGTTTTTTGGATTTAGAATAGTAAAATATATTTAGAATCATCAGTTTGTATTTTTTTTGTAATTTTATGATTACTTATGTCTATTTAGGTCATTCAAAATGGAGATTTCTCGATCTCATGGCCATCGAAAGCGTTATTGTTGTTACTATTGTAATACATATTTTTACCAAGTAGATGCATGGCAACGTCACAACCGTAAGCACACTGGTGTTGAAATAGAATGTGAAGACTGTGGAGATATGCTATCTGACCATTTTGAGTTAAAAGTTCACCAACAAAATTGTGATGCATCTCAAATTTACACAGAAAATACACATATGTCTTTTGAGGAAGAGTTTTCTAGCAACAAAAGCTTATGTTCAGTTAAAGAGAAATATGTGCATGATACCCCTGATAGTACTTCAAAACAAGAACTATCAAATAATGAATGTATAAAAAGTGTAAAAATAAACCCTTCTAAAGAATTAGTTAATAAAGTGGATGAAAAAGAGGCTGAGCAATGTTATAATCCGGCTTCAAACATTGAACAGTTTATTGGTGAGCATAAAGTAAGCAGAGAAGAAAGTTACTCTGAGTTTATGATTGGTATAGATCACACTCAGCATGTTGATCTACCCGAACAACCTGGTATCGATTCTACAGTTTTAATTAAATCAGAGGAAAATAAAGAAGTAAATAGTGACATTAGACAAGAAGATTATACAAATAACCTAGATTTAAACTCTTTTGATATTTCAACAGTATCTCCATCAAGCTCAAATATTGATTCCCAATCTATAAATGCAGAGAATAATGAGCAAAACAAAAAATACCAACCTTACTTTTGCAAAAATTGTGGTGCAAGATTTACTAGAAAAGATTCTGTTACAAGACATTTAAAAAAAAGTACTTGCAGTGGTAAATCACTTATTGTTTGTGATGTTTGTGGTAAAATTTTTATGGAAACACTCGATCTTCATCAACACTTTAAAACAGAGCATAAAAATATGCCATTTGCACCTAGATTAATAACTCAACAACTTCGGCCGTTTATAGAGTTGTCACAAAATTATTATCCAAAATATTTACTGAGTTCTGGTCAACAACCTAAGCCTCCTGATCCTATATATAGGTCAGTTGCACCTTCTGTTCATTCTTTATTTCACAATCCATACGCTTCAGCTACAAGTTATGTACAACAAAAGGAATCATTTCATGGAAGAATATTGACAGTAATGCAGAAAGAATTCCATGATCAAGATGGAGCAATGGCTAAAAATGACTTGTTGTTAAAGCGTAAAAACGAGTTTAAAAGGTATGGTATGGAGTATTTTGAAGATAGATCAAATCATAAGTACATGAAAATTGATTCAGAAAAAAACGTAGATCAGTATAATCAAACTCCTCTAATTAATAATACCACAGGTATAAGAAGCATTAATCTCAGTGAATACACAAGCAGTGCTATGAACTCTAAACAGTATTATGATCAGCATTACATGAAAAAAAATGACCATAACTTTTCTATTAAAGACAATATTTTACGGTTACATCAATGTAAATTTTGTGGTCTTGAATTCCCAAGATTTGACTATTTATTGACACATTTAAGAAAGCATAAAGAGAAATCAGAAATTGAAAAAGGTGATGTGGAGGAAAGTCCTGTAGCTAATATTAATGAACATGAAAAAAGTGTCTTAACATCTATAACAAATGACTCTTCCTCAGATGATCCTTCAGATAATCATGCTAAACAAAAAAGTAGCTTACAAAAATTGCCCATCACTACTGAAAACATTAATCTTGAAACACCTAACAATAGCAATCAGTTTTCGTTACAAAATAAAAAACTTCATCAGAATAATAGTAATATTCAGCTTACTAGATCTAAAACAGAAAATTCTAGTGAGGCTATTACCCCTGGAACAGATGGAAAGTTCCGTCCTTTTATTTGTGAGAATTGTGGCCAGAGATTTACGCGAAAAGATAGTCTTGTGCGTCATGCAAGAAAACAAACTTGTTTTGAAGAAGCTTTTGATTTAAAGTGTCAAGAGTGTGATAAGAATTTCCGTTATCTTAAATGCCTTACTCAGCACCAAGAGCTTGTGCATGGATTTAAGGTAAATCGTTTAAGTAATCTTAGCAGTGATGAAGATGGCTCTGAATCAGAAAGATCAGAAAAAAGTGAAGAAAATGAAAAGCAGTTAGAACCGATGGGTGCCTCAATGGTGGAGCTTGACTCAATAACCCGGCAAGAAAAGTACAAGTCTTTCCACAACGAGACTCCAAATTCAGTCTCACAACAACATGAAGAAACCTATAGTACTCAAAAGTTTGATGAGAAGTCAATTAATCAAAAATCTAATGGAAGTGAATATAGTTCCTCTTTCGGTGTGTCTATGCTCCCACGTCCTTTTCAATGTGATTATTGTGGTGATAGATTTGCACATCGACATTCCTTAAAACGTCACGTACGTAGACATCTTGGCATAGGAATCCCTTGTCATGAGTGTGGGAAGCTCTACAGAGACCAATCAGAGTGGAGGAGACATCAAAGAAGCATCCATAATCGACATTACGAAAAGTCTGATGTTCCTAATAGAATAAGTTTTAATGATGGAGTTGACCAAGGTTTAATTGGTATAGTCACTAACTCTGATTCTATCAATAAAGCAGACGATAGCTCTAGCGATAACAGTGATATTGATACAGATATGATAAATGCACATAAAAAAAATGAACCAGTATACACTGATAAATATAAAGTTAACACAATATTGCAAGATAACTCCGCAGCAAAACGTTTTCTTGAAAAACCTGTGGTTATTTTGAACACTGACTCTAAAGATGAACATTCGCATCATTCTCAAACTGGGAATGATATCAACAGTCGAAAAAGTGTTCTTGATAGTTATTTGTTTTCAGCTGATCCTGTTGATACAGATAAGATGAATCCACCTACCTGCCTAACATAACAAGTTTGACTTAAACTACAGTTTGAAAACTAGTTTGAATGGTGCTAATTTCACTTTACTATAAGGTGTTAAAGCTGATCTTGCGTTGTATCATTTAGTTGGTATTAAATTATTTAAGTTAAAATCTATACATTTAAATTTTATATATAGTCTGAAACATTAAATTTTGCTTTTTTAAGTATGTCTCTAAATTTATTGTTCATATATAAATCTTCAATGCTGAAGTAGTAATTTTTACTGTGTATATATGTATATATATATATATATATATATATATATATATATATATATATATATATATATATATATATATATATATATATATATATATATACAAACACACAAACATATACATATATGCATGTTTCGCATAAAAGAAAATTAATCTTAAGTAAATTTTTATCTTTATTTGATTTATCTTTTGTAATTGGTCTATTTTTGTTTTGTTTTTCCCTATGAACTGGATAATGAAAAGTTATTTTATATATATATATATATATATATATATATATATATATATATATATATATATATATATATATATATATATATATATATATATATATATATATGTATGTATGTATGTATGTATGTATATACACACACACACATATAAATATGTGTGTATGTATGTATATTTATGTATATGTTTTGTGTGTATTTGGTTTTGTAAATTAATTTCACTTGTAAAAAATTGCTTTCTAAATTAACGAATATTCATTCATACAGTTTTTTGTATCATTTATTAGAATAATGAATTCATTAATAATTTGTAATCGAATTATAATCTAATACAAATTTTTTTATTGTCTTATTTTTTTGTTGAGGGGTGCTCCAAATATTTAAAATCCAAAATTTTTGTGTACTAATTGATGCTTAAGTTGAGATATTTTAATATATCTTTATTCTAGATTTTTTTTTACTAAAAAAGGTTGCGTTTTCAGATAATTTCAGATTTTTTTTTATTTTAATCGGTAGAAAGGAAAGTCCGAACCTTGTCTCGTAAATAAATAGTTTTTTGTATGAATTTGTGATGTCTCAGACCACTTGTTGTTTTTTTTTTACTTAAATATATTTTTTTTAATTACATTAGATAATTTTCGTTTGCATTTTTCTGCATCGGAAGAATCTGATTTTTAAATATATATTTATGTTTAGTTAATGATAATTAATATATTACATTTTTCTGCGTCGGAAGAACCTGATTTTTAAATATATATTTATGTTTAGTTAATGGTAATTGTTCTTTATATTAAATCGTATATTAAATAAGTTGCAACCATTCCAATAATTTTTAATGGTTGTAAAGTTAGTGAAGTTCTTTTTTTAGTCGCATGGCTGCAAGAGACAAAGGTAGAAGTCTGTATACAATGAGATAAACGCTACGATCTATAAATTTGAAGTAAATTTGTTCGAATGTGATCCATCTGCTTTAAGCACTTTAGTAAGTAGGGTATGGACTTTTTATCCGTCGCATGTCTCAGTTAAGATATTTGTTGGCTGAAACACAATTGTAATTGTAGTAGTAAACACAATTGTAGTTGCAATTTATTGATGTTCTTTATTTTAAAATGGAGCTTCTTTCCATATATTTTTTTAGCTACGCCTTTTACATAGATTGATGTTAAATCTTATTGTAAATGACGTTTTAGATATCATAGACACATTTTTTGAGTGTTTTATAATAAAGAGTGGCTACTTGTGAGTTGGACAACTTTAAAATTTTTGTTATATCAAAGAGGATAACAAATTAAATTGTGTTGTCTTTATTTAACATAAAGTCATATCTACAACTTAATTATAGCATTGTGCTAAGTCCAGGGGAAATTCATAATGTACGTATGCAGGTATGAGGAAGAGGGGCTACTCAAAAGCGTGCAAGACGTATTAAATAAAGCGAGTAAGTAGGCATTTGGTTGCTTTTTTTTTTTTTTTTTTTTTTCAAAAAAACAGAGTTTCACGAGTTTAAAAAGCAAAATTATTTTAATTATGTTTTTATTATTTTTTTTTAATTAGTTATGAATATTTAATGAGTATTATAGTATTATATTTTTTAATTATGTTATGTAACATGTCAAATTAACTAGAAGTTTCTTAGTTTTTAATGTTTTAAAAATTTATGCGTTAGTGATTTTGTAATAAATAATGCGTACGCATACAGAGGTGGGCTCCTTAAAGGCATAAAGTTGCGCCCAAGGGAGAAGGGGTTCCTAAACCCCTTCTCTCTTGAACCCTAAAACTGCGTACGTACTTCATGGAAGTCCATCAGGGTAAAACAAATTTTTTTAAAGATCTAAATAAACTGTTTTCCGATGATTTACTATATAAATTTACAGAAAGTAGATACATAATCTTTTTCGTCAATATAAATTTTTTTACAAAACTATTTACTTAACAAATTGCATGGGGCAAGATCATAAGACGATGGTCTTATGATCTTGCCCCGTTAATTTCAATATATTTTACAATAAATATAAGATAAACACAAAATATAAGATATTTAAATATCTATAAATATAAAAACTTGTATGATTAAAATTAACAAGTAAATGTATCTTTATAAGTATAAATACAATTTAATGCATTTTTATAAATATAACCATAAGCATTTCCAGCTATTGTGTAAATGAAATAAAATAATTTCAAGACGTGTGAAAATTTTTTAAGAAATAAGAGATTGTTTCAGTAATGTTAAGGTCAAGTAACTGTTGTTTAACAACGCATTTAAAATGTTGAAAAGCGTTTATCGCATTTGTGAGAAATAAATTCCACAATTGTGGTCCTCTTCTAGATATTGAGAATTTGGATTGTCTCAAATTATTTTTTAATTTAATAAAAAAATTATTTGGTCCCAAAAACTGAAGGACGCTAAAAATGTTTTGTTTATAAATATTAAAAAACTTTCGGTTCTTTTATTATTTGTTTAGCACTAGCATATCCATTTGTGAATATGCGGCATGCTTGCTTTTGTTTTTTATAGACTAAGGATAGTTTTGATTGGTAAGTACTTGCCCAGGCAACATTGCTGTAGCTAATGTAGCTATGAACAAATGCAAAGTATAAACTTTTTAGACATACTTTATTTAAAATATACTTAGTTTTATGCATCATCCCAATGCTTTTAGATATTTTATTTTCTAACAACTTAATATGCTCTCTCCAGTTAATTTATTCATCTAGAATGATTCCTAGAAACTTTACAGAAAATGCTTTTTTAATTTTGTTTTGTCAACTAAAATATCTCGAAGTTTTATTGGTAACTTGTCTGACTCTTATGGTTTTGAGAAACGAATGTATTTGCTTTTTTCAATGTTCAAGGTAAATTTGTTGGCCTTCAACCAATCGCTTAACTCTTCAAGCTCCTGATTTACTGTGTTAAAAATAATTTTAATATTTGAGTGGGTGTAGAAAGCTTGGATGTCATCAGCAAAAAGAATAAAATTCAGTATACGAGAAGATAAAAATATATCGTTAATATAGACAAGAAACAGAAAAGAACCTTGAATAGATGTGGGAACGCCACAAGTAATGGTTTCAAGGGAAGTGTAAGTTTTATTGTAATATAAAGCTTTCCAATTGTTTAGATAGCAACGAAACCGTTTTAGGTTTTTTTTTTTTTATACCATAATTACTAAGTTTGTATAGAAGGATTTCGTGATCCACTGTATCGAACGCTTTTCAATATACACTTGGAATATTTATCACAAATCGATAAATATCCCAAGTGTATATATACAAGTGTCAATATATCACAAATCACAAATCGATAAATATCCCAAGTGTATATTGATTTTTGTCAAACCCATTCAAGATTTCGTTAACTAACTTATTACTGCAAGTTCAGTTAAATGATCCTTTTTAAATCCCTTAACAACATTGGAAAAAGTTCTTTATGTTCAACTCTCTAATGATCTAAAGCACAATAACCAAGTATTCACTGCTGCTGTTAAGATTAATAAAATCTCAGCTATGTTAAAGCTTTATTAGCAAAAATATAAAGATATATTTTAGGTATTTTGAATTTTTCCGGTTATTAAAAAATCAATCCGTTTATTTAAAAAGATATTGTAATTTTGGAGATATAAAAAAAGTCTATTATACATTATGTATTATATAGATTTTAGGTACATTTTTATTTCTTTTAGTTATTTGATGAGTCATTTTTATTTCTTTTAGTTATTTGATGAGTCATTTTTATTTCTTTTAGTTATTTGATGAGTTATTTTTATTTCTTTTAGTTATTTGATGAGTCATTTTTATTTCTTTTAGTTATTTGATGAGTCATTTAAGAAGATCAGAGAAATGCAGAAATTTCGTGACGTTTTGTTTACATTTGTTGGTCGTTGTACAATCATGTATAGCCAATAGTAAAAATAATAATAAACTTACGCACATTTACAATGATAAACAATGATAAAACTTGTTAATGCAAGGTAACTAAAAGAAGATTACGAAGATCTTGTCGTAAGAACATTAAATATATGTAGTCGAGCATTTAACACAAGTAGAAAAAATTAAAAAATAGTAACAAAGTTTTATAGAGTTATAAAGACCGCCAATTAAATCTATCAAATTAATATCTACTAAAATATTTTATTTATGCTCAAATATAAGCTCAGACTTGTCCCAATTCATTTTATTAATAGCATTTTTCAAACCAACACCAACAGATATATCACACGAGGAACTGGAAACTTCACATTGCCCATAAAAAAACAAAATTTTTGATATTTTCAATTGTATACCGTGGCCTTTATTTATACAGCAAAATAATACCTTAAAATATAGAACTTACTAAATTGAATATTCTCATAATTTAAAAAACCAATTTTATCGATATGTATTAAAATAAAAATAAAAAATTAAAAAAAAATGAAATAAAATAAAATAAATAAAAAAGAATAAATATAGTTAGCAACTATACATAGTCAAGTATTACTGAACAGTAGACCTCAAAAAGTTGATGTGTGTTTCATAAATTTACTTTTTAATCTTTTAGTTTATTTTGTATTTTAAAGGTTCTCGATGAAAAGATTTCTCTTAGTCTTCTGCGAGTTTCCTTATAACTACATAGTATTATTAAAATATATTAATACATATTTTCAACAACAACCACAAGCAAGTCCCTAGTAGCCCTGTGGTGCAACGGACTTGTGTATATTTTTTAGATTCATGGATTAATTGTCAGTACTTTATATTATAAGCCACGAGTTTTTAAATTTGTAATTATAACTCAATGCCAAACGCGCTTACGTAAAATAGCATTGTTAACGCTCTTTAAATATTGTAAATATGTGTGGTGGACATTTATATAAACTGGAGATATGTAAACATTATTTGTTTTTGAAATATGTAATAATCATTGTTGTAAAGATCTCACTAGAACTATTTACAAATGTGACTTTTAGGTCATACCGGTTCCGGTCGTAATTACAATATTTCAGGCCGGATTTTATTTTTTACCTTTTTTTTAGGCATGTGAATCAGACTGTGTAAATTAGATTAAAAAATCATTGTCCTACATGGCAATGAAGAACTATAGGTCAACAAATTTTTAACAAACATAACGTAATTTTATTCGCAATTATGTAAGGATTTCTACAAGTTTAGGAATATTGTGGCGCAAAAAGAGTTGTTATCCAGTTTTGGGCAACAAACTAGCTCTTTTTTCAACAAAAATGTTACCTGTCTCTGAGAATAGTCTCACGTTATTTAAATTTTAAATAATTAAAAAGTATAGGATGCCTAACACTGTAAATATTTCAATTTCTATCTAAATGGAAAAATATAAAACAAAAAAGTATTTTTAAATATAAATATTATGCAGGTTAAAACTTTCAATAAATAAATTATAAGAAACAAATAAAAACAACATATTAGATTTAAATGAAACAAGAATTAAATTAGTGAAATTTTTATTAACAAATCTGGTTCTAGCTGGAATTTAAAATTTCCAATCCGGTTCATCCCTAGACTTAACAAAGATTGCTTTTTATGAATTATTTGTTTTTTTCACACTCTTTTTTGTCTCGATTTAACTAAGTTGATGCCGTAAAACAGAATAATATTTTTCACAAGGAGGTATGCACGAGGAGGTATATGCGCTTGTATAAATCGCGTTTAGAGCAAATTCGAAATTCAGCCACCATTATGTTTGACCCAAAACATTTTTACGTTTAGAGCGGAACAATGGATTTTATTAACTTATCTGAAACCAAATTAAAACGTTGCAACATATGATTTAAAAATTTGCCAGTAATAATTTTATGCTACAAAGAATTAATAGCCAACTGTTTACCTAGTTCAGTTCTTTTCAAAATATACTGAGTTAGACTTTCATAAATTTTTATTTTTTTAACATTTTTCACTTCCAACAAGACTGCAAGCAACCACTATTAGAGTTGGAAGTTACTGGAAGAGAAAATATAAGATTTATAGAGCAAAATAACGATTAACAGACGACTTAAAAGATTGCAAATTAAATGAATCAGGAAAAAAAGATGAAAGGAGCAAACTCCAAAGAACTGATGTTTGAGGAAAAAATAGACGAAAAAGAATTTTTGGACCACTAAGGAGCAGTCACAGTAAAAAGATGAGACTTAATTAAATGACGAGTAACACAAAAATGAATTTTAGTAGATAGCACAAGAGACGCTAGCTCTTTATAGCAGCACCTATCATAGTATTTATAGAAAAGAGAAAGAAAAGCAACATAACGACAATGTGGTAATGATTGAAGATTGGATACAAGAGCAGGTCCAACTATGTTTGCTATGAGAAAACATATTTGCACCTTGTCTAAAAGAGAAAGAGCATCATTGGAAGATGTTATTGATGAGAAGCTCTTGCAAACAATTCAGCTTTTTCTTTAGGTGAGATGACAAAATCTAAACCATGCAAGAGAAGTAGAATAAAAGATTTGCCCTTGTTATAGATACTGTTAAAGATTCTCCAGAAATCACGAGAGCCTAATTTTTTAGATAAAATACGAGATTTCGTGACCTAAGAATAGCGGGCTGAAGCGTTAAACAAAACCTTTTTACAATAGTTTCTAGCAATAGTAAACAGACGTCTGTTTTCTGGAGAATTTTTTTGCTGATAGATATGCAAATAATGGTTACGATTGGAAATTGCAGCAGTACAATGTGAGGAAAACCATTGGGAGAAGAGTGAGGCTTGACTTGAAATTGTCGAGAAGGAATAAGAATTCTATGCCAGCCAGAATCTAAGAAGTTACGTTACAAGCACATTTGTCAGCAAGAAGACAAATATTTATACCTAAGGGCCATCATGAAGAAATTCATGGAAAGAGTCTCATTCAGGTTTAAGGTAGTCTTAAAAGGTATAATGATAGGAGGATTCTGATGATGAAGAAGAATGAGATAATCTTAATTAATTTTTTAATTGGAATTTAACTTTCACTGAACAACTTTTGTACTTGGAGAGAATGGAAACTTCACATGTAATTTCAAATAATCTTGCATTTTCAATATTATTGTCAAGCTTCTTCTTGGACAGTATTAAATTATTATGTTCCAGCTTCTTTTTGTGAATTAATTTTATTTTTGTTTTATTTTTTGCTTATAATGCATTAAAGCAAAAGTAAAAAACCAACAACAACAGTTATCCAGGTTAGACAATTTATTGAGTTTCCTCGCGCAAGCTTTTTTCGATTTACTACTGGAGGGTGCTCACGATTTTTTTATATATATCTTTGCTTTTGGTACAAGTTGGTATTTGATAGAACTATCAAACTGAATACTAATGGTTTGTTTTATCGGAGACTTATTATACTGTGACTTATAAACATATACGATGTGATAACTACCACTACGCTAACTACTAGTTCACTGTGATAATTACCAATTCGCTGTGGTAATTACCGCTACGCTGTTGTAAGTACAGCTACACTGTTGTAAGTACAGCTCCGCTTGTAAATAACATTACTATTAAAAAAAGTTTTAATTTAAGATTACTGTATTTAGTTTTTATATACTTAAATACTCGTATTGTTAAATACTAGGGGTGTCCCGAATATTTTTTTTTACCGGATATCGAATACCCGGATATTTAAAAATTATCCGGCCGGATAATGTAATTGAAATCCTAAAATATATATTTTATTATGAAAAAAATATTAGCGTGATAAACCTTCAAAATGAAATATAAATGAGTATAATAAATAACTAATAAAATAAAATAATAAGTATATAAATAATTGATATATCTGTTGCACATTTTAGTAGTATTTTAATAATAATAACAATAATAATAATAATAATAATAACAGCATTAATAATAATAATAATAATAATAATAATAATAATAATAATAATAATAATAATAATAGCAATAAAAATAATAATAATAGTAATAACAATAATGAATAAAAACCATTAATATTAAATTGTTTAAAAATATAAATAGGTTTCTTCTAAACATTTCTGAATTTCTTATTTCAATTTTCAACATGAAATATCCGGTATATAAAAAATCGAATAAAGTTGTTATCCGGCCAGGTATCGGATTCCGAATGATACTCCTATCCGGAACACCCCTATTTAATACTTGTTTACAAATTCTTTAGATGTTTTTAACATTTGACATATAAATAAACAAAAACCTTGATAAATACCTATTTTAAATATAAATAATTAAATAAAATCCTTGATAAATAATTGATTAAATTATATTTTATGAATGCATTATATATTAAAATACGCATGTATTAAAAAATTAATAACTTAGTCGTTATACTTCATCTGTTTACTGTTTTTATTTTTAAATTTAAAGCTAATTAATTTACAGTGCAAAAACAGATTCCTTAAAATATGCAAATGCAATCTGAAACACGATCTTGTATTAGGTATGTTTTGTGTTATTTAAAGTAAACTTACAATGACATGATCTAGAAAGGTATTGATGACACACTATTATTGATGACACACTATTATTGATGACTATTAAGGTAACTTTATTGTGCATAAATTACGTTTGAGATGTTTGTGTCTTGTGAACGTGACGGACACTAGAGATGCAATAACTTACTTAAATGTGGAAGACCTATCTATTTTTAAAAATTTTATTTTTCAGAGCTGAGTCTCCTCTCCCAAAAAAAAATCATAAAACTATAAGAGATTAAAAAAGCAGAGCAAATATAAAAAACTTTATCTGTGTGTATAAAATAAGTACTTATTATGATATTACATTTGCATTATTTTGAGTAAGAGTTCAAAAGGTGATGTTTCTCTTCGTAATTGGTGTACGTTGATAGTGCTTTTTTAATAATTAGCCAATTATTTCTAAAATTAATTTATTTTAATAAATTTTTTTTAATAAATTTTATAATAAATTTTTTTAATAAATTTTATAATAAATTTTTTTGAATTAATTATCCCTCTGATGACTCATTGTACTATACGACTTGATATTTGTAAAATGCACTCAAGATCTTTATACTTTTATCATTTGAGCAAACACCACTCTAAAGAAAAAAATGTTACCAAAACCAAACACCACTCTAAAGAAAAAAATGTTACCAAAACCAAACACCACTCTAAAGAAAAAAATGTTACCAAAACTAAACACCACTCTAAAGAAAAAAATGTTACCAACACCGGTTTGTTGGGACTAGAACTGAAGTCTTTTAAGCTATCTCAAAAAATACTTTAAAACCATATAGAAATCCAATCATTTGAATGCTTCCTTTAGATCATTTAACAAATCTGATTGTTCTACTTATAGCTGAATAAGAAAGTTTTGAGTTTTGAATTTCTTAAGGTTAATCATAAAGTTTGTAACTATTTAACCAACTGTAAGAAACAAAATTCTTTGAAATAATTTTCTTAGAAATGTTGTAGTAAATTTCAATGCTGGACATTGAAATTTATTACAAGTTACTTTATAAAATTTAGTAATTAGAAATGTTAAAAATTTAAAAATAATTAAATTTAAACATGTTGTGAAAATGTATGAATATAAAGCTTTTACTATTGTCTTGATTATTAACTTATTGTAACTGCAGAATACATATACTTTTTTAATTTCTAAATTTTAAAAGTTATAACGTCGCCAGTGTGGCAGAATAGCTTTAAAACTAAACAAAATAAGTTTTTTTTTGTTTTGAATTTTTAAGCTGAATAGTTATTTTAAGGGCACTTGTTAGACTTAATAAAAATTATTCCATAGATTTTTAAACATTTATTTACAATTGTCAGATGTTTTTAATGTATTTTCGAGTAATTTTGAGTAAAGTTTTTTAAAAAACCAAGTGATAATATAAAAAAAGAAAAAAATCAAAAGTTTGCATGAATAAATAGTATTAAAACGTATTCTAACCGATTCACTAAAATAAAAAACAGTAATTGGAATTTAATGTAAAAACCCAGCTAACACAAGACGTTCAAGAACGTTCAAGCAAGTTCTATGAACGTTCTTGAACGTTCGCAACATTTGTTAAACGTTTTGTATTAGTTTGGAAGTCACTCAAAAAAAATTACTTGAAAACTCGATTAGTTTTATTGCTTTAAATTTGCTCAAAATAAATCTTACAAAAAAAAAGAAAGAACGTCATAGTTCAAGCGTTCATGACCTGGTTTCGTTACCTAGTTTCTACTGATGTAATTGACACAATTCTACTAATTCATACAAAAGGGCTTAATAAGAGCAAAATAAAAATTTTAAATCTGTAACATCAGTATTTTCATAAAAAAATAATTTGAAACTGTATCTAAGTGAAGACATAAACAAAAAGCTTTCCTTTTATATAATATTAGCAATTTGGAACCAAATTGCTAATATTATATAACGGGTGATGCGTAATTAGTGACACAAAAGTTAACTTAGTTTTGCTCGTAATATAATCTTTTTCATTAAACCATATAAATTTATTTTGGTAAATTGAATATTCCAGTTTTATTAAAAAAAAAATTATCCAAAAAAAATGTTAAACGGTCAAGAAAGAGCAGCTCTTCAAAAAAGCGTCAAAAATTTTTTTGTAAAAAACCCAAAAGCGACCAAAAGCCGCTAACCATTTTATTAAAGAAGGAATCGCTCGCAAAACAGCATATAGATATATCAATCGACAGCTTGATGGATAATGTTTAAAAATAAAAAAAAATTCTGGTCGCCCGTCATCGTGGACTCAAGAAAAAAAAGCGAAACTTAAAAGGTTGACCAACAATCGAAAAGGTGTAAGTCAAAGAAAGCTCGCACGTAAATTCAACGTAAATCAAGCAACAATTTGTAGACAATTAGCCAAAATGAACATAAAATATCGGAAACGCGAAAAAACACCAAAATACAATGATGAACAACGTCTAAGGGCACAAAAAAGAAGTCGAAAACTCGTCAATCACCTCTACAAAGAACAAAGCGATTTAATTTTGGACGACGAAAAATACTTTTGTTTTGCTGGCGATGAAATGCCTGGAAACGCCGGTTATTACACGAACGACAAAGAAAAATGTCCAGAAAATGTTCGTTTTGTGGGAAAAGAGAAATTTCCGAAAAAAATTCTCGTTTGGATCGCAGTATCTGAGCGTGGAATGTCGAAACCACTCTTCCGGTCGTCAACCTCGGCTGCAATAAAATCCGAAATTTATATCAAAGAATGCTTAGAGGAACGATTGTTGCCATTCATAGATAAGTATCACGATGATTTAAATTACATATTTTGGCCGGATTTAGCTAGTGCCCATAGAGCTAAAGAGGCAATATCGTGGATGAATGAAATGATTAACTTCGTGCCGGTCCATATGAGCCTCCTAATGTCCCCAAAGCCAGGCCAATCGAAGACTTTTGGGGAGTATTGGCTCAGAATGTGTATGAGGGTGGATGGGAGGCCAAAAGTGAACAACAACTGATTTGGCGTATCGAAGCCTGTCTGAAAAAAATTGATTTGACATTTTTACAATCCCTTATGAAGGGTATCAAAACTAAATTGAGATTAATAGCTGATCAAGGCGTTCAATCGATTTACAAAAAATAATTTTTAAAAAATAAATATTGTGTTATTATTTTTTAAAAATAAAAAATTTTTTTTCTTTTATTTCTTTAAAAATATAAGGCTTTGATTTTTGTGTCACTAATTATGCATCACCCGTTATAAGGAAAAGATTTGTACGCAATATGACTACTTGAAAATAAATAGACGTGTTATTTTGCATGTATTGATATATTTTAAAGTAAAATACCAATATATGCACAAATAGTATTTTACCAAAATACATTTCTATTTTTTAATCTTTTGGAGGAACACATTAAATGATGGTCTTCCAAAATTTAACTTTTTTAACATTTTCAAAATATTAATTATAAAAAAATAAAATCAATAACTAATGGCAAACCCTTTTACTTTTTTGTTCCTACAAATATAAGGACCGACTTTAGGTCCTACAAACCTTTTACTTTTTAGGTCCTGCAAAGCAAAGGGTTTGTCATTAATTATTGATTTTGTTGATCCTAAACTTTAGAATCAGAGCACATTTTTTAAACTAGATTCAATGAGTCTATTTCGAAAAAATGTGCTATGATTTCGAAAATGAAAGTTTATCAATTTTGTCTTGTGTAATCTAGTTCCACGTAGGTTCAATAGCTTTTTCCTCGTAGGTTCAATAGCTCCAATAGTGGATTCAGTAAAGGCTCTTTGGCGTTTTTGAGCGTACTTTTTCTTTTCTAAAACTTTTTCAAAACTTGATGCTATAAATTTTCCATTGAATTGAGATCAGGTAGCCAGCACAATTGAGATCAGGTGGCCAGTACCTTTGAGATCTGGTAGCCAGCACAAAAGCTGGCTACTTTATTACTTCAATTCTAGTGATCAAACAAAATTCTGTTTCGGTATAGATTTCGGCCGAAATTTCGATTTGAACCGATACTGAAATTTCGGTTTCGATACTTTTTATAAATATGGTAAAAAGCAAAATTTCGGTTGAAAATCGTATCTTAAAGCCCGAAAAATTTGTAAGATTTTAAATTTTGATCTAATTTAGAAAAACACTTATTTTTGAGAATTTTCACAAAATATTTTAAGAGTTTTCACAAAAGTTTTGAGAACTTTCACAAAATATCTCAAAAAAATGTTGTTTTGCAAAAAAAAATTCAGTTGTTAACTTTCGCTATTAATTTATACTGCTTATGTGTAAAATCTTAATTTGTGATACGCGTGTAATCAATTCTAACATAAAACGAGTGTAAAAAAGCCATTCTTTAAAAACCATGGGTTAAAAACTCTACTAAAAGTAGAAAAACAACCCCATTCCCATAACCCTGCGTGATCGTTCTTCTGGAGGATTCAAAAGTTTACCTTTTGGTCTATTTACCTTTAAGCTGCCATCAAGACCTTTCAAATTGTATTTCAAATTCATCGTTCCACAATATTCTGTTATGATCATTAATAGCCCATATTTTTTGAGGATTTCAAAATTCAGTTCATACTTTTCGATTTTTAGGATAAATGATGGCTTTTTCAATACTCTAAAGCTAAAACCCAAGTTAAATAAGTGTAGTTTTTGCAGAAACCATAGGTACTTATACCCGTACTTAACATTTTTACAAAGAAAAAGAGAGATTAAAAGATATAACATTCAAAAGAACAATAGTTTACATTTGTTTGATCTAGTAAAACGTAGTACAATAAGTTTATCAAATGCTGGCAAAATAAACTAAACAAAACAAAACAAAAAAAAACGCAAACAACCTGCGCCTTCAGATCCCTGAATTATTCATTTTCATTTTGAAACTTGCGTAACTTAACTACTATACACAAACAAGCTGCATCAGCAAGCTGCATCAAACGTGTAAAATTTTGACAAAGTTAGTTTCATTGACGATCAAGGTAACTTTCAAGCGTACTTTGTTTAAAAA